ACTCTGTCCCTCTATGGTCAAATTAAAATAAGTAAATAAAATTAAATAAAACAATAAAAAAAAGAATTCTTTGAGACCACTAGATGGCATAATGGTTGCAACTCCCATAGTTGACCACGGTTTGAGTCCCAGACCCAGTGGCTAAAAACACATATTGGGCACATCTGCCTGCATGCCCAAAATTCTGAGAGGACAATGGAGAAGGGACTGCGGCATGGCCATCCCCCCCGGGGGGGTGATTTCTTGCTTTGTATCATTTTTTAATTTGACCAGAAAGAGGCAGAGGAATAGTGAGAAAGCAAACCGCCAAGTACAGGACTAAAACCACAGTTGACCATGTGGGCATCCAGAGCCTTAACCACCATGACACCTGCTGGCCCCCACATATTTATTGCTAATATTCAGAATTCTCAGAAATGAAAAAGCTGAGTGAAAAGATATAAACTGTTTTTAAAAGTTGACAAGTTTGTTTCAGTTTTTCCTTTTAAGAATTATTTAACATTATTATTGTTTTTTAATTTGCTGTAGAGCACATGTCCTAACTAGAGGCATGGGGGAGGGGTGTGACAAGGAGCAGAAGGAGTAAAAAGCAAGCTGCTATGTCCAAGACTCAAATCGCCCGTGTGAGTCCAGCACCTTAACCACACCTTTATTTTTTTTTTTTTTTTTTTTTTTTTCTATAGGGGGTGTGCTCACTGGAGAGAGACAGGGAGAGACATGGATGAGATGAGCACACCACAATCTTTTCTCCTACATCCTCCTCTTGGGATTCTAGGCAATCACACACAAGCATTGAGCATGTTTTTCAATGAGTTCGGGACTCAAACAGCAAAGTTGGCCACGTGGGATCCAGTCACCTTAACAACCATGCTATCGCCTGCTCCCAAGGATGACAAGGTTTTTTCCTAAAGACAAATATTACCAACTGCACATTTTATCCCTTGTGACCTATTTTCCACTATTATATGTATTCCTTCCTAATTTATACCCATAGTTTTTTTGTTTTGGTTTCTTTTTTTTATTAGCCTTTGCCATAAGGCATGTGTGCTTGTCAGAGAGACACAGAGGAAAAGTGAGAAAACTCCCCCAGTGGGGATAGCCATTGTAATCCCTCTTCCATTCTGAGATTTAGGGCACACATGCACAGGTACCTGGCATGATTTTCAAGCTGCTAGGTCCTGGATTTAAAGTGCACCCACTCATGTGGGAGTCCAACTGCATTAACCACCATACCACCTGCTGGGCCTTACCCAGAGATTTTTAAACAAGTAGATTCTCAGTTATAGTCATTTTCAGGTTTCATCTTTGTACTTCATGTATAGGTCTCTACTTTGTTTAAAGCATTTTAGGAATCCAGCCCAAAAAAATATCTGGCTACAGTACTTTCTGCTGTTCCTATAATCATTCTGTCATGTCTCTAAAAGACAGTGTGAATTTTTTTTGTAACAAAAAATTATTTTATTTATCTTTATTTATTTGTTTTAATTTGACCAGCAAAGGACAGAGTGAGAGAGAGAGAGAGGGAAAGTGAGAAAGCAAGTCGCCAGGTCCAGAACTCAAACTGCAGTCGGCCATGTGGGAGTCCTGCGCCCTTTAATCAGTATGCTACCTTCCGGTTGTAAATATCTCTTTTAAAAAAAAGAGAGAGAGAGACCAGCAGATGGTGTGATGTTTACATTGCTGGAATCCCCTGTAGCCGACCACAGTTCGAGTCCCAGACCCAGACCCGGCAACTTAAAACTCACACCAGGAGTGTGCGTGTATGCAGGCCCAAAATCCCAAAAGGAGAATGGAGAAAGGATTGCTGTGACCATTCCCCCTTAGGCGTGATATCTCACTTTCTTGTCCAACTCTCCAGAGAGCAAACACAGCCTACAGCAAAAATCTAAGGGAAAAGGAAATTCTAATCAGTAAGCTTAAGAGTGTGAGGCCTTTCAGTGGTGATTAGGTCATTCATGAATGAAATTAGTGCCCTTTTAAGAGACCCCAGGGAGCTAGCTAGTCCATTCCACCAAGTAAGGACACAGCTAGAAAGCACTATCTATGGGGACCAGTAGATGGCACAATGGTTACATTGCTTAAAATTCATGCTGGGCACGTGGGCACATGGAGGAGAAGGGATTGCGGTATGGCCATTACCCCTGGGGGGTGATTTCTCACTTTCTGTCTCTGTCTCTCTAGCAAGCGCACATGCCCTGTAGCAAAAGTCTCTCTTAAAAAAAAAGAAAGCACTATCTATGAACTAGAGAAACAGACCTCAAAAGACTGCCTTGATCTTAGACTCTGCAGATTCTAGAACTGTGAGAAATAAACTGTTGTTTATGGGCTACATAATATGTGTAATTTTGTTACAGGAACCCAAGAAGACAAAGACCAAGTGTTTGTACAAAAATGAGGTTGAGGGGCCAGGAGGTGGTAGCATGGTGGTTAAGGTGCTGTACACTCCCACATGGCCAACCATAGTTCAAGTCCTGGTTCTGGTGGCTTGCTTTCTCACTTTCTCACCCTCTTTCTGTGTCTCTCCCTGGTCAAATTAAAATAACTGAATAAATATATATATATTTTTTAATGAGGTTGAAGGCTTTGGAAAATCTCAAAACTACCACATTAAAGGCAAACAAGATGACTGAAGACTGGAGAAAAATACCTAGAATTCCAATTCCTTCTTAAATGTATAAAGTAAATAAATAAATAAATATTTTTGTCACGGGGTGTGTACTCTCCAGAAAGAAAAAGAGGGAAAGTAAGAAATCACCCTCAAGGGGGATGGGATGGCCACACCACAATCCCTTCTCCATTCTCTGCTTGAAATTTAGGGCACACTTACACATGCACTAAACCTATATGCTGCCAGGTCCAGGACTCAAACCACAGACAGTCATGTGGGAGTCCAACACCTTAACCACCATGCCAACTGCTGGCCCAATGTGTAAAATCTTAAAACAACTTTAAAAAACTTTCATATTTATAGACTATGACTCATAGGTGTGGTTTATGGAAGAAAGGTACAGTTCAATCAACCTAAATCTAAAGAAAAATGGGAATTAAAATATTACCATTATAGGGCCAGCAGGCAGCATGGAGGTTAAGTGCCTGGACATGGCCAGCTGCATGGATCAAGTCCAGGACCCAGAAGTTTAAAAATTATACCAGGTTCACGTGAGTACATGCCTAAAATCCCCTGGGTGGGGGTAAGGGTCTCACTTTCTGTCCCTCTGAAGAGTATACATACCCTACAGCAAAACCTTTTTTAAAAACATTACCTATTTAGAGAGATTTTTCCTATTGGGTGTGTGCACTCACTAGAGAGATACAGAGAGAGAAAATGAGAAATCACTGGCCAAGAGGGATACCATACCATAATCCCTTCTCCATTCTCCTCTTGGGATTTTTTGGGTGCACACACACGTACCCAGCGTGAGTTTCAAGTTGGCTGGGTCCAGGACTTGAACTGCAGTTGACCATGTGGGGAGTCCAGCCCCTTAACCACTACACCACCTGCTCGCTCCTAGATTTTTTTTTTTTAAAGAATTACTTATTTAAGGAGCAGCAGATGGCATAATGGTTACATCACTTGACCCCCACATGACTGACCACAGTTTGAGTCCCAGAGGACACCCACTTTAACTGGTGGCTTAAAACTCAAACTGGGAACGTGTGCGTGTGTGCCCAAAATCCTGAGAGGAGAATGATGAAGGGACTACAACATGGCCATCTCCCCAGGGGTGATTTCTGGCTTTCTGTTTCTCCCTCTGTCTTTCCCACAGGCACACATGTCCTACAACAAAACTCTCTCTCAAAAAATAAATAAGTAAATAAATCCTTTTTTTAAAGATTTATTTTAATTTTATTTATTTATTATCATTATTCTTCCATTTTTTGACCAGAGACAGACAGAGAGAAAGGGAGAGTGGAGAAGCAAGCCAACAGGTTTGGGACTTGAACCATGGTCAGCCATGTGGGAGTCCAGCATCTCAACCACCACACCACCTGCTAGTCCCACTCCTTTTTTTTAAATTTGCTACAAGGTATGTGTGCTCACCAGAGAAATAGAAAGTAAAAACACAAGTCCAACAGGTCTAGGACTCGAACCATGATTCACTATGTGGGAGTCCAGCACCTTAACCACCATGCTACCTACTGGCCCAAGATTATTTTTAAGTTAAATAAAAAATTTTAGGAGCCAGCAGGTGGCATGGTGGTTAAGGCACTGGACTCCCACATAGCCAGTCACTGTTCAAGTCCTGGACCTGGTGGCTGCCTTTCTCACTTTCCCTCTCTCTCATTCCTCTCCCCTCTCTGGTGAGCACATATGCCCTACAGCAAATTTAAAAATTAATAATAATAAATAAAATTAAATAATTCTAAAAATTTTTAAAGTTTATAACACATATCATTTATGATTCCTGTGATGTACTTTTTCATCTACCAGCAACCTTAAGAGAGTTTCTAGTGTACACACATACAAGAAAGGCTGATTTTTTTTACCCAAAGAAAAATCTTAAACACACCTGAAACATAGTATCAAGCTGGGTTTGAATCTCTACCCCAAATTTACTTTCTATATAACCTTGAGCAGGGTAACCAAAGCTGTTTCTTCAAATAAAAATTAAGTATTAAAATTAAACTTACTATGGGTCCAGCAGGTGGCATAGTGATTAGGGGTGCTGGACTCCCACATGGCTGGCTGACCACAGTTCAAGTCCTGGACCTGGTGGCTTACTTTCTCTATGTGTGTATGTGTGTGTATGTGTGTGTGTGTGTGTTTGTCTCACTCTAATCAAATTGAAAATAACTATAATGATAAATAAATTTTTTAAAAAATAAACTTACTCTGATTTGGGAGATATGTTAATGCCGTTCAGAGTGGTTATGGTTTCACTGGTGTATACTCATCTCCAAACTCAAGTTGTACACCACATTTACAGATTTTGACATGTTAATCATACCCCAGTAATTTTTGGTTTTGTTTTGCTATAGAGCACATGCGCTCACTAGAGAGAGAAAGAGGGAAAGTGAGAAATCACACCCCAGGGGGCATGGCCATGGCTACAATCCCTTCTCCTCCATCCTCCTCTAGGGATTTTGGGCATGCACGCATACGCGGCCAGAGTAATTTTCAAGCTGCTGGGTCTTGGAATTGAACCTCATTGCTGGTCATGCGGGATCCACATGCCTTAACCTCTACACCACCTGCTGGCCCTTAAAGAGAGTTCTTAAATAAATAAAATTATTTTTTAAAGTTTTGATTACATCAACTCACAAGGGTTGAGGATTAAATAATAATTCATTTAAAGTACTTGGCAGGTGGAGTGCTGCTTAAGGTGCTGGACTCCTACATGGCCGACCACGGGTCGAGTCCTGGACCTGGCCACTTGGTTTCTCATATTCCCTCTCTCTCTCTCTCTCTGTCTCGGTCCCTCTGGTCAAATTAAAAAAAGTAAATAAATGAAGTTAAACAAAATAATTCTTTTAAAAGAAATAAATAATTCTAAAACAAATCTGGGAAATGCTCAGGTTATTAAAGAAAATAATAAATATATAAATATAGTACTTAGCATGATACCTGGCATATGGTGAATACTCATGGAGCAAGTAGATTGTCAACAAAAGACTATTTCTAGCCCCTACTGGTAAAAGTATCAAATTCAAGATTGTCATCCAAGCCTTATCTTAAAAATATTGTACTTCAATACTTTAATGTAACACTAGAAGTAATGAAGCACTAAGTACAACATAATCTCCCAGAACTATATACTAGAATCTAAATGGTCCTTAACCAAAGGTATCCATCAGAATTCCTTAAAAACTTTTCAGCAAACTCACAAACTCATAAGCCTGGGATATATTCCCAAATGTATTATGCTCATTAGGTAGGTAGGTAGGTATAGACAGACGGTATATATATATTAAATCTAGATTTCTACTTTTATAATTATTTATATTTATATTTTAAAAGTTCCTCCAAGGACCTCATGTGAATCGCCAATGAGTAAGTTACTAAGGAAACAGCATTATTGTGATGCTTTTGATAAATCAAAATATTACCCAATTACTATTTATTTGTGTTAAAATAGCACTAAAAAAAAAACATGAGTGTATTAACTTGGGTTGCTCAATTATCAAAATAAATTTGGGGCCAGCAGGTGGCGTGGTGTTTAGGGGCACTGGACTCCCACACAGTCAACTACTGTTTGAGTCCCAGACCTGATGGCTTGCTTTCTCAACTTTCTCTCTCACTGTCCTTTTCTGGTCAAATTAAAATTAATCAATTAAGTTAAATAAAATAATTCTTTAAAAAAAATAAATTTGATAGATTATCTGTGAAAACTACTATATAAGCAGGAGATTCCAGCATTTTCAGGTTATTACTACTCAAGTATAGATCTGCAGATATTAATCACAACTGTAGTACCACCTCCCTACAAGTGTCAGTCCTACTGAAATATCTCCTGTATTAAAGAGAACTATAAGACACACTTCATCAACATTAAGTTTCTAACTTTGCAAAAATGCCTTAACATTTTTAGCTTGGAAACACAAGACTGCGGCTTTCTCAACTTTGGCATCAATGATATTCTGAGGTGGACAACTCCCGAAACGAGAATAAGCATGCCAGCTGTCCTATGCGTCGTGAGCTCTTCAGCAGCATCCTTGGCCTGTATCCACTAGATGCCGGTAGAACTCCACACCTTACTCCAGTTCTGATAAGGAAAATGTGTTTACATATTTCCAAATATCCTGAAGGGTGTGGGGGGGAACACATGAAATCAGTCCCATTTGAAAACCAGTGCTCTGGTTAATGTTTTTCCTATTTCTCCTCAGTTTTCTCTATTTTCTGAACTAGTGAACTATCTATTTCTTCACAGGGGATAATGGGAATAGACTCAAAAATGGACTGCCTGCTGTTTTTGACTGGAAAGGGAAGCAGCAACATTAAGTAACACAAGTACGTCTCACTATCAGCAACACACTGGTATAACTAGGTTTGAATTCCCATTCAGGCACTTACCAGCAGTGCAGTCTTGAGCAAGCCACTCCAAGTTGTTTCCTCATCTGCAAAATGGGAATAATAACATCTACTTTGCAGAGTTGCTATATTAGAGACAATGTAAGTAAAATAGTACTATACCTGATATATAATAGGGCTGCAATAAAGGATAGTTACTGAATTATTACTGAAGGATGATGGCACTGGAAGGTATTGTTCACCTTCTATGATGATTGTATCAGTACTCCAACTTTATTGTGCATTACAGTCACCTGTGATGTTTGTTACACATTGAAGATACCCAGATCCCACCCTTGGAATGGTCCAGGAACGTGATGAGAAAAAAATGACTGAGTTAAAGTTATACTTGAGTCTGCTGTGTTTTTGCTCTGTTGTAAGACTGCAGCATTTGAAGACACAAGAAACAACTCATGAAAACAATTCAAGCATTTAACATATTTGTCAGACAGAACAAAAACTACTTTTAAAATACTGGCATTTTGACAGTTTATTTTGAAGATTATTTTAAAAACAAAGACAATCTGAGAAAAAAATTGCACAGAGTATGCTCATTAAATAAGTGTGATGATTAAATCAAAATAAGGGAAATAGGTTCTCTTCTGAAACTCCGGAAATAAGTTCTGTTGTTTTGAAGGTTCTTATACTTCCAAAAAGGGGGGGAAATCATGGCAATTATAAGCTGCCTCGTAATCATTGTAAATCTACAGTAGCAACCAAGTTTTTCTTTTCTTCCCAATAAGTCAGTTTCGATCTTCAAACTGTGCCTTGTTTTTTAAAAGATAAGATGCTAGAAATTCAATAGGGTTTGGTGGTCTGTAAGGGAAAAGAAATCCAAAGTTTAGAAATATATTAACTAGATATGTTAAATGTACTGTTCCATCTTTTTAAGTTTAGCTCTCATTTTACAAAGGCCACTTGTAATAAATATGATAGAAAGATAGGCAAACAGTCACCATGGCGAGAAATCACCCCCCAGGGGGGATGGTCACGCCGCAATCCCTTCTCCTCCTTTCTTCTCTCGGGATCTTGGGCACGCACGCACACGCGCCCAGCGTGAGTTTTAAGCCACTGGGTCCCGGACGCGAACCGCGGTTGACTATGTGGGAGTCCAGCGACATAGCCATTACGCTAACTGCTGGTTCCCATGAACTCGATTTTAAAAGACAATTTCAAAAGTGTACTAACAATGGGAAGATGATTACCCTAGGGAGAATGACTTGGAGGAGTGACAAAAGAGGTTTTTGAGACGCCAGCAACATTCAGTTTCACGATCTGAGTGCCTGTTACACAGGTATAGTTTAGTTTGTGAAAATTCACCAAGCTGCATTATCTATAAAAAGTGTAATTTTATCTGTATTATCCTTCTATAATAGAACAAAACCAGGGGCTAGCTGATGGCATCATGGTTAAGGCACTGCACTCTCACATCGGTTGACTGTGGTTTGAGTCTTGGACCTGGCAGTCTGAAACTCACACTGGGCGTGTATGTGTGCTTGCCCAAAATCCCAACAGAAGAATGGATAAAAAGGAATTGTGGGGGTTATTTCTCACTTTCTGTCTCTTCAATGAGCACATGTATGCTATAGGGGAGGAACAAAAAAAAAAAAAAAAACAGAACAAAAACAGGATGACTATGGTTCAAATCCCAGACCTTATGGCTTGCTTTCTCACTTTCTCTCTCTCATGAGCACACAAGCCCTATAGCAAAATTTTAAAATAATAACATTAAATAATTATTTGAAAGAAAAAAAAAAGTAACACAGAACAACAGCTATAGCATCACCAAGATATACCAAGACATGAGGATGAACTTCCCAAATAACTAATCAAGGGCAACAACACTTACACAGACATGTTAGTTCTGCTACCTTTCTCTTTTAAGTTTTTTTTGTTTAAACAATGTCTTGCTGTGTCACAATTCCAGTACTTCAGCAGCCCACCAAGCAGCTGATATTAAAGGTACATGCTACTGCTCCTGGCTTAAGATGAGGCAGGAATTGAATGCAGGCCTCCCATGGGCCTGTTATGTTTCTTTTGAAAACAACTTCTAGAGCTAGGAGGTGGTGCAGTGGTAATGCAACAAGTATAGAAAAGGTCCTAGGATGCCAGCAGATGGCTTGGAAGTTACCACATATTTCACTCCTGGGTTCAAGTCCCAGACTCAGCAGCATGAAAATTACGTGGGGCTAATGTATGTGCTTGTCCAAAATCCTGAGAATGAACTAAAGCATGGCCGTCCCCATGGTGGGGTGATTTCTCATTTTTTCCTCTCTCTCTCTGTCTGTCTCACTCTGACAAGCGAACACACCCTATTAAATAAATAAATAAATAAATACTGAAGGAAAAAATAAAAGACAGGTCCTAGGATCACGTTTCAGTAACTCCCCACCCCAGCACACTAGGAGCATGCACATTACATGTGTGCCCAAAATGTAGGCTGGCTGAAACTAGGGTTGGATCCTGGGAGAAAATCTTGTTGGGGGTTAAAGGAGTGTCTATCTGTCCATCTCTCTCTCACTTTCTTACACGGAACAAAAAACAACCTCAAAATAAATCCACTTCTGGGGGCCAACAAGTGTCATGGTGGTTAAGGTGGTAGATTCCCACAGGGCCCACCAAGGTACGAACCTAGACCCAGTGGGTTGAAACTCACACAAGGTGCAATTTTTCACTTTCCCTCTCTCTGTCTCTCTCTGGCAAGTGCACATACCCTATGGGGAAAAAAAATCCACTTCTGGGCTGGCCCTGTAGCACACTGGTTAAGTGCTCTACATTCAGAACTGGATCCCACATTGATGCTTGCAGTTCCAATCCAGGCCCCAGGACCTGAAAAAACATACTAGGCACACACCAAACTGCAGTATAACTATACCCCCTTGGTGGATGTTTTCTGCTTCTCTCTATCTCTCTGGCAAGCGCGTGTATCTTCTGGCAATAAAAACACACTTCTTCCTTTCCACAACAAAATTAAATCAATACTAATTCTACTACCACAAATGCACAGTGCACCTGAGAAGTTAAAACATAAATAAGTTACTACTTCATGCTTATCATCTTTCAGTATTATTTCATTTAGAGAACCAAGATATGGAGAACTGGTTATATCACTGGACTCACACATAGTTGACCACAATTCAGGCCCAGGAGGCAGCAACTTAAAACTCATACCAGGCACATGGGGATGCATGCCCAAAATCCTAAGAATGGAGGAAAAGGGATTGTGGCGAGGCCCTCTCCCCAGGGGGTGATTTCTTGCTTTCTGTCTCTCTGGAGAGTGCATACACCCTACAGCAAAAATATCTCTAAAAAAAAAATTTTTTAAGAATTATTTCATTTAATTGTACTTAATTGGACCAGAAACATACAGAGAGACAGGGGAATCGAGGAGGGAAGCCATCAGGTCTAGGACTAGAACTGCGGTCAGCCATGTGGGAGTCCAGCACCATAACCACCATACCACCTGCAAGTGCCCATACTTATCATCTTTATATAAATTATTTTTGGTGAATAAATAAGTCTTCCAAAAGCTGGGAAACAGCTATTTTAAACTACCATGGGGCCAGCAGTGGTGTGATGGTTAAGGTGCTGGCTGACCATAGTTCAACTCCCAAACTTGTTGGCTAGCTTTCCCACTTCCCTTTCTCTTTCTCTCTGGCTTTCTCTGGTCAAATAAATAAGAATAATTCATAAAGTTAAATAAATAATTCTCTTTTTTATTTATCCATTCATTTATTTTTAGTTTGACCAGAGAGACACAGAGAAAGAGGGAAAGTGAGAAAGCAAGTCACCAGGTCTGAAACTTGAACCATGGTCGGCCATGTGGAGTATCCAGCACATTAATACCACGCCACCTGCTGGTCCCAATAAATAATTCCTTTTTTTTTAAAGGTGAAAATAATGGGGCGAGCAGGTGGTGTAATGGTTAAAATGTTGGATTCCCATGAGGCTGAACATGGTTCAAGTTCCAGACCTGGCAGCTTGAAAATCACACCAGGAAGTTGTGCATGCATACGCAAAATCCTGAGAGGAGAATGGAGAAGGGAATACATGCTGCAATCCCCCCGGGAAGTGATTTCTCACTTTCCCTCTCTTATCCCTTTCTCTCTCTGGCAAGAACACACATCCTATGACAAAAACTGAAAAAAGAAAAAAAACTATGGTGATACTGGAAAATACTTAAGGATAAACTTTAGGAGATAAATATGCAATTATTTATGAAATACCATAAAAAGTCATGTCCCCTGAACTAGTAAGTCAACTCTTAGAAATTTATCATAAGAAAATATCTAAACAAAAGCAAAAGAAGCATAAAAATAGATATATTACCAGGGTGACCAATAAGAACAAAGAAAATTGTACCTAAAGTTTCAACAATTTTATGTAACAATATTAAGTGAAAACTAATACAAAATTACATATATATATATATACCATGATTACGAATCTTTACAAATATATGCATATGATCCAACACTAGTAGAAAAAATTAAAATATCTGAATTGTGAAATTATGGTTGACTTTTTTTTAAGAATTATTTTATTTAACTTTATTTATTTATTTTCATTTGACTATAGAGGGACACTGCAAGAGAAAGTGAAAAAGAAAGCCAACAGGTCCGGGACTGGAATCATGGTCAGCAGTGTGGGAGTCCAGCACCCTTAACCACTACGCCACCAGCTGGCCCCCTGGTTGACTTCTTTAAAAAGTTTAATATTCATGAATTAATATAATAAAAAGTAATTATAAGATAACTAATAGTATTTCTATGAAGGAAGTGTTTAATTTGCTTTCTCTAACTCATTTGCAGACACTATTACCTTACCTTTCTTTTGCAAGTACAGCAAGTCCCTGTAATAAGATAGGCACAACTGTCTGATCCAGGTAGGCACGAGTTGGCAAGGACTGTAGATCCACCTTCTGTTTTGATGACTTTTCTGCATTAATCTTCTCATTTTCTACTATCCTCTAGTGAATTTGAAAAACAATACATGAGTATTCCAAATGACGTTATTTTGAGAAATCAACAACTAACAGAAATATGGCAGTGAGAGAAAAGGCAAATCAGGATGTGTGTTGGCTTAGTGATTAAAGCAGCTGGATCCCACACTGTCAACTATAGCATTCAAGACCTGGAAACAACGGTTGGAAAAAACACTCCAGGCATGTGTGTGTGCATGCCCAAAATCCTGAGAGGACCATGGAGGAGAAGGGATTGCAGTGTGGTAATCTCCCATAGTGTTTTCTCACTTTCTCTCCCCCAACTTGAGTAAACCCACCAGATGGCAAAATTACAAAAAAATGTTAAAAAAACAAAAGGCAAATTAATGACTAGAAAGCTGCTGCTAGATTGCAAACCTCATTATTAAATTTCTTTCAAGGTGTTTCCCCTACAAAGGCATAATATCTAATACCTCAGTCTTTTAATCTGCAGAGACTATACTTTCTCCCTTTCCTTTTTCCTTTATAGAAGTAAATACAAGGTCCCCCTTACCCTCCCCCATGAGAATACCTTCTTATATTGAATTCCAAAAAATCTGGACATGATATTAAGTAGCACTGAATCACAGCAAGAGAGCTATTCCTGTTTCAGTTCTTTAATCAGAGATAATATCAAGGACAAAGTCAGTGTGGTGCTGTCTTTAACACTTGCCAAATTCCTTTCGTAACAGAGAGCAAGCTTCAGACTGAGCCTTGCACTGACAATAGAATCCAACTAAAATTTATTACCAGTTTATATCCACCATTTTCATTTTACTAGTACCTTCTATCACATGAAGAACACTTTTTCACTTATGTTTCCCAGCTGCATGATAAACACACCAGACACATGTGCGTGCATGCCCAAAACTCCAAAAAGAAGGAAAAATGGACAAAATATTGCAGTGGCCATCCTGCATGGTGGGCACTTTCACCCCCCCCCCATGCCTTCCCTTGAGTGCAAACTAAAAAAAGGGAAAAAAGAGAGATCTTGAGATGGTGTAATGGCTATGTCACTGGACTCCGACATAGTCTACTCTACTGTGATTAGAATCTTAGCCTTGGCGGTTTAAAACTCATGACGGGCATATGTGGAGGGGTGCCCAAAATCCCAAGAGGAGAACAGAGAAGGGATTGCCACGTGGCTATCCCAAGGGGTGATTCTCGCTGTCTGCCTGTCTCTCCAGTGAGCACACATACCCTACAGCAAAAATGTCTCTTTAAAAAAATAATTGGGGGCGGGGGGTACCAGCAGATGCCGTAGTGGCTATGTCGCTGGACTCCCGTGTAGTCGACCGTGGTTCGAGTCCTGGACCCTGTGGCTTAAACTTGCATCAGGTGCATGTGTGTGCATGTCCAAGATCCCAAGAGGAGAATGGAGGAGAAGGGATTGCAGCCTGGCCATCCCACAGGGGGTGATTTCTCATTTTTTATCTCTCTCTGTGTCACTGGCAAGCACGCGCACCCTATAGCGCAAAAAAAAAAAAAAATTAAATTAAATTAAAAAATAAAAAATAAATCTCTCTAAAGAGAGAGAGAGAGAATGACTTCAGAAAAAAATGTTAAAACCCCAAAAATGAAGATGATAAACATGGGAAAAATAATATAATATTTAAATTAAATTTAGGGGAACCAGCAGATGGTATCCCTGGACTCCCACATAGTCGTCCGCAGTTCCAGTCCTGGACCTGGTGGCTTAAAACTCACACTGGGCAGGTGTGCATGTGCCCAAAATACTAAGAAGAGAATGGAGAAGGGATTGTGGCATGGCCACCCTCCTAGGGGGTAATTTGCCTCTTTGCTGCTCTGGAGAACACACGCACCCTACAGCAAAAATCTCTCACTCATTCATACATACATGCATACGTAGTTTAGGAAAAATTAACATACTTGTGTTTTTTAAGTTTGCTATAGGGCATATAATCTTGTCAGAAAGAAACAGGAAGAGAAAGTAAGAAATCACCCCCTTGAGAGGATGGCCACGCTGCATTCCCCTCTCCTCCACTGGCCTCTTGGGGATTTTGGGTACACTTGCACATGGGTACAACATGACTTTTAAGCCACCAGGTCGAACTGCCCAGTCAGCCAGGTGGGTTCTAGCACCTTAACTACTACGCTACCTGCTGGCCCCAGCCCTCTCACTAGTACTTTTAACAGACAATGTCTATAAAATACCATCATTTCTGAAATTCTAACTGAGCATTTGTAAAATTTACCTTTTTTGAGAATATTTTATTTAACTTTATCCATTTATTAATTCATTTATTTCCATTTCAGCAGGGGGGGGGAGAGAGAGAGAGAGAGAAAGTAAGAAAGCAAGCCACCAGTTCCAGGACCTGAACTGTGGTTGGCCATGTGGGAGTCCAGTACTCTTAATCACCATGCCAACCTGCAGGCCCCAAAATTTACTTTTCTCTTTTTTTTAAAGAATTTTTATTTAACCTTATTATTATTATTATTATTTTCCAGTTTGATCAGAGAGACAGAGGGAAAGGGAGAGAAAGCAAGCCACCAGTTTCAGGATTAAAACCATGGTTGGCCACATGGGAATCTAGTACCTTTAATCACACCACCTGCCAGTCCCTCAAAATTTACTTTTCTACTACAGAAAAGACTACAAAACTTTTATTTATGAAAACTGACATTATCATCTTGAATGAGATTTCTTCCAAATCAAAATTTACTACGTTAAAACTTCACCTTGACTACCATTTTTAAAATGTGACCATCTTCAAAAGCAGAGCATATTTTCTTTTTTTAGAGAGATTTTTGCTATAGGGCATGTGCACTGGCCAGAGAGACAGAGACAGAGGAAAAGAGTGAGAAATCACCTGGGGGGGGGGGAAGGACAGCCACGCCCAAGTCCCTTCTCTTCCATCCTCCTCTCAGGATTTTGGGCACAAATGCCCACACTCCTGGCCAGAGTTTCAAGCCACTGGGTCTAGGACTCAAACTGTGGTCGGCCATGTGGGAGTCCCACAACATAACCATTACACCATCTGCTGCTCCCACACAAAGCGCATTTTCTTTTTCTTTTTTTTTTTTTTTTAAGGTTTTTTTTTCTGCTATAGGGCACGTGCACTCGCCAGAAAGACAGAGAGAAACAGAGATAGAAAGCAAGAAATCACCCCCCAGGGGGGATGGCCACGCCTCAATCCCTTCTCCATTCTCCTGTCAGGATCTTGGGCACGCACGCACACGCACACCCAGCGTGAGTTTAAGCCACTGGGTCCGGGACTCAAACTCTGGTCACCTACATGGGAGTTCAGTGACATAGCCATTACGCTAACTGCTAGTCCCACAAAGTGTATTTTCTAAAGACAGTCCTGGGCCAGCCAGGTCACATGTGGTTAAGGTGGCTGTATCCCACATGGAGGATTACACAGGTGAGTCTCAGACCCAGCAGCTTGAAGAACACACCAGGCATGTTTGTGTGTGCATGCCCAAAATTCCAAGTGGAGGGGCTGGCATGTGGCATGGTAGTTAAGGACATTAGACTCCCAAGTGGCCAACTATAGCTCAAGTTCTGAACCTGGCAGCTTACTTTCTCACTCCCCCACTCCCCATGCCCTGACTCTGTCCTTCTCTGGTCAAATTTAAATAAATAAAGTTAAATTTAAAAATTCTTAAAAAAAAAAATATCCTGGGGCCGGCACCTGGTATGGTGGTTAAGGGCACTGGACTCTCACATGGCTGACCACAGTCCAACTGACTACAGTTGGACCTGGCAACTTGCTTTCTCACTTTCCCTCCTTCTCTCTCTCTGTCCTTCTCTGGTCAGCTTAAAATAAATAAATAAATAAATAAAGTTAAAACAAAAAAAACAAGGAGAATGGAGAAGGGACTGCAGCATGACCATTTTCCCCCAGCAGGTGCTTTCTCTCTCACCCTCCATCCTGGCAAATGCATTCATTTGAAAGCAAATTCTAAAAGAAAAAAACAAGTAGTACCTAATCAACTTCTATAGATCCTATAATAAATTTCTTAGCCAAATATTTATTTCATGTAAACACTTGCCACATTATTACGTGCCCATTGCTATCTTTTTTTAAAAGAATTATTTAATTTTATTCATTATCATTGTTTTTAATTTGACCAGAAAAGGAGAAAAAGAGAAAGTGGAAAAGCAAGCCACCAAGTTCATGGGACTTGAACCATGATCAGCCAACCTACCCATTGCTGTCTTAATTTTAGTTAAGTCAAAATCTTGAATTAATCTAAATACTTCAAACTACCACAAAAATGAGTCAGTAATAGTGTAGAATATTGATAACAAAAAATGTTTAAAAAGAGGTGATCTTTATAATTTACCAGCTTATTGCTTCCTCTCTAAAAAACTTTGAGTATACAATGTGTACAGAGGAAAGCTAAGCAGACCCTAGTTGTCTCCCTGAGTTGGAAGACAGAGTTGTAAATTCAGAGAGTTCAAAACAACTGTAATACCATTTGCAGGGCAAAGTAACGTAGAAGAGTGTTTCATAGAGAACTGTGCAAAAAGACTAAAGAGACAGCCACGGGCTAGCTAGTGGTGTAGTGGTTAAGGCAGCTAGATCTCATACAGCCAACAGCATGGTTCAAACCCAGGACCCAAAGGCTTGAAAAGCATGCCAGACACGGGTGTGTGCATGCTCAAAATCCCAAGAAGAGTATGGAGAAGAGACTGTGGCATGATAATCTCCTCTAGGGGATGCTTTCTCACATCCTCCTCTACTCTGATCTCTCTTCAATGAGCACATGGGCCCTACAGCCAAAACAAAGCAAAACAAAGAGATAGCCTTCAAGTCCTCAGGTGGGTAACTATCAATGGATAGATGTGAGGCAACTATCCAAGGCAGAGTTCCCCCTGCCACTTAGAAAGGGCAGGAGAATCAGCCCCTGGTGTATATAGGAAGCTGGGAAAAAGTCAAGTTCCCATGACTTAGAATGAGAAAATCTCATAATACATTGAGTACATTGGGTAAAACACTCAAGAGAGGAAATCAGGCCTA